CAGGGGTGGTTTGATACTATACAAGCTACAATTCAGCAGTACGGCATCCTCAATGAAGATATCTACAACTTTGATGAAACTGGCTTTGCAATGGGCCTTACATCTACTGCAAGAGTGATTACTCGATCAGAGTACTATGGCCAGCGTTCAGTATTACAACCAGGGAATCGTGAGTGGGCAACTGTGGTGGAATCGATTAATGCAAGTGGGTGGGCACTTCCACCAGTTATAATCTTCAAAGGGAAGCAATATCAACAAGCTTGGTTTGAAGAGCTCCCTAGGGATTGGCGGTTTGAAGTTAGTCCGAATGGATGGACTACAGATGGAATTGGCCTTCGATGGCTAGAAGAAACCTTCATTCCAGCCACAAACAGTCATACAAAAGGCAAATATCGACTTCTAATCCTTGACGGCCATGGTAGTCATCTTACCCCCCAATTTGACCAAATCTGTGCTAAAAACAATATCATATCAATCTGTATGCCACCACATTCATCACATCTTTTACAGCCTCTTGATATTGGTTGTTTTTCCCCGCTTAAACGCGCGTATGGTACCATGGTTGATCAAAAGCAGCGGCTTGGTTTCAATCACATTGATAAGCTTGATTTTCTTATGGCATATCCACTTGCACGTGCAGAGGCATTCAAATCAGTCACAATTCAAAATAGCTTTGCAGCGGCTGGTTTAGTACCACTTAATGCCAATCGAGTGATATCAAAGCTTGACATTCGGCTTCATACACCTACCCCCCCGGGAAGCCGCCCTACCAGTCGATCAAGCATCTTCAGCCCCAAAACACCTGCAAATGTCAAAGAGCTATTAAAGCAAGCCTCATCAATCAAAACTTTCCTAAAACAACGCTCAAACAGCCCCCCAACACCTTCAAAAACTGCACTAAACCAGCTTATTAAAGGCTGCCAAATTGCAATGCATCAAGGCATATTGCTTGAGCAAGAAAACAAACAATTACGCACTGAAAATGAGAAAACAAAGAAAAAGAGGGCTCGTACGCAGAGACGACTAGCTCATGAGGGGGGTGTATCAGTGGGAGAGGCTCAGGAGGTATTTCAGCAGGTTGAGCAGCCAAATCAGGCAGTTGGACCAGTTCTAAACCAGGCAGTTCCGCCAGTTCAATCGCAGCCAGAACCACCAAGGCGCAGATTACCGACATGTGGAAAATGCAGAAATATAGGGCATAGATCTAATGCCTGTCCAGAGAGATAATATAGTCAATATTACTGCGTTGTGGTTGATAAATATGCCAATAAAGTAGATGGTAGATGGATGGGTGGCCGGGTGGCCCGGGTGGCCGGGTGGCTCGGGAATTACGTTATAAGAAATGACCTTTCTTTATGCCTTATCTTGATATCTCGAATTGACTTATAATGAGGAATATAATGACATGCTACATGTCATTTTTGAATGAATCTTAAACAATGCTAGTAGCATTTATTGATTTTATAATGCGCTGCCCCCAATTTCCTGTTTATTTAATTTATATAAGGATGATTGTTAATAAGTATCAAGGCCAATCAATCTCTTACATAAATGTGAGCCTTTAATGACCACCATTATTTTCTCTAAGATGATGAACTATATATTGCTCTTTTCTGTGCTATCACATTTATTTACTTATAGTTAGCTGATGACAACCCTGATATTATAAACAGTCAAATACGAGCCTTACCCATTTTTTAGTTTCCTGATATACACTTCAACTCTTATTCTATATATTTACTACATCATTTATTGAGTGCCAGTTATCATGCTTTATAAATAGTCACTTACCCTTCAATATTTTAAAAACCTGAGTAGAAATCAGACCCTCTCAATGATTCTTCAATATCTTAAACTTTTTTTTATCCCCCTTTACTTATCTCTTCGACACTTATTGATAGCAAATATCTGTTTAATGCTACCTCCCAGATAATTCACCCGACAAAAGTCTAAGTGATTCTGCGTCGCGTGACGCGCCACCTGATATTGTTCATCATCTTTTCAACCACCTCACCATGCTCTACACTTAAATCTATTAGCTCTAATAGGATTAATAGAAAAAAATTAGAAACTTTCCAATGGGTAATTACAGTCGGCCGATTTCTTGCAGGCCAGAAAAAGGCCGATATTCAGCGCGAAATGAATTTACCATATACAAAATTCAAACCCTACCATTGCAACATATCAGTTCTCAAGCACTGGCACTAGTTCTCGCATTGGATGGCCAGAGATCCTTTCTGATGCTGATAAGCGATATATTCTTTTACAAATGGAAAAAGAAGCACATAGTCTCATACACCAATGGCAAAGGAATATCTATCATGATTTGGGCGGCAGTCTGGGGTGGTGGCCACACTGAAAGCTATCGAATGAGTCGGGATGAAGAATTTGCTCCAAGAGGGTATTCTTCACGGTCCTATTTGGAGATTATCGAAGATTATCTACCTGTTATATGGGAACCTGGTATGGAATTCATGCAAGATAATGCTCCCATACATATAACCAATATTTCTAAGAGTTGGTTTGATGAACATGGTATTCCTCTTATTGACTGGCCACCCTACTCACCTGATTTGAACCCTATTGAACATGCCTGGGCCAAGTTGAAAGAGCGTATATATATGCTCTATCCAGACCTTGAATTATTTAATGGGATCTAAAGAGTAATTGAAAAAGCAATTCTATAAAGCCATGGAGAATGCATGGAAGAGTTCAGGACAGGACTTTTTTGATGGGTTGGTAATGTCTATGGAGAACCGTGCTAATGCAGTTTTAGAGGCAAAAGGGGTGGTTCACACATTATTAATATGATTTTCATTTCATTTTATCATTTATATGCTACTTATCTATAGCATATTCGCTTAGCTAGTAAAAGAATTGATGTTTTTGGACCGCTTAAACGCCCATATGGAAATTAACTGAGGGCATGATGGCAGCCGGAAACAGATATATATACTCATAAAGGACTCATACAGTCTCTTTAGGGTATTATAATTAAATTTTTGGTGTATTGAGTTTCCATGGCTTTGATTTAATTAATAATCTAATTATTTAACATGCCAGAAATACTGTATAATAAATAAACATATAACAATTGCCTCTAACTTATAGTAGATTCTCATTTAAAGATATACCAGCTGAAATAGCCATTTTTAATATGAATATACTACTTCTCTAAAGAGAATGATGAGTTAAAAGAACCTGATATTATCTAATGCTAGTAAATTAAACTGGTACCTGCGAAAGTGAAGAATATGAGACAATTGCATGCCCGGATAGACCTTTATAGCTTGCTCTGTTAATCATATGACGTTTGGTTGAAATAAATGTATCTAAATACTATACATTACTATACCAGGGGGGTGGGTTCGCCAGTCGCATGTGAAATACGTTATATTATATATTATATAAAATGTTTATGAAGAATGATTAAGGTGCAGATGGAGATGATTAAAACCATAGTAAATTAATTGGAATAACTTCTGTTGCCAAAATAATATAATAATAATTAATCTTAACGGTAATCCACGGCCGAGTTGCGCACCTTCTCCGTCCCATCAAATATCTTCATGACCATATTCTTCAGTGCGGCTTTTTTCTATCTTCATCCTATAAAGATGCCTCTTTCTAAAGAAAATAGAATGCAAATGGCTAACTCAACGATTAAGAATAAAAAAATCCAATCAAAACGAGAGACTGCATCTGTTTTTGGAGTGTCTGAGGCTATTCTTTTAAAGGAATGAAATCACGATCAAAAACACGCGCCAGTAGCCATAAATTAACGGATTTTGAAGAGGAAGCTCTTGTCAAGCAACTGCTGGATGCAGATAAACGAGGATTTTCAATTCGACCGCAATATTTGCGTGAAATGGCACAGATTTTACCTCAAAAACGTATGAGATTCTACTGCAACTATTGGAGTCAATTGGGCCTCCTTCATAAAGCGCCGTCCTGAACTACGAACAAGATATAACCGGAGGATTACATACCAGCGTGCAAAGCAGGAAGATCCAAGTCTTAAATAAGTGGTTTGAGGCTGTACATGCAGCTATTCAAGAATATGGGATCCATGAAGATGACATCTGGAATTTTGATGAAATTGGCTTTGCAATGGGACTCTGTACGACGTCTAAGGTAATTACTGCAGTATAACGCAGTGAGAGGCCTCGCACAGTTATCCAGGGCAACCGTGAATGGGTTTCTATCATTGAATGCATCAACTCAAAAGGGATTTCCATACCACCAGTGGTCAACTTGAAAGGGAAAGAACATCAAGCTCCTTGGTATCAAGAGCCTAACCTTCATCCAGCCTGGAAGCTTACAAATAGCGCCAATGGCTGGGCAACAGATGGGATAGGTCTTTAGTGGCTGAAGCAAGTGTTTGATCCTTTTTCTAAACCACATTCAACTGGTGCAAAGCGGTTGCTTATTCCTGATGGCCATTCAAGTCACCAAACTGCTGGGTTTGATGATTTTTGCAAAGAAAATGCAATTATCTGTCTTTGTATGCCTCCACATACATCTCATCTTCTTCAGCCACTTGATGTTGGTGTTTTTGGGCCGCTCAAATGCGCGTACGGAAAACTAGTTGAGGGGATGATGGTGGCTGGAAATAACCACATTGATAATAAGGACTTTCTGCATCTATATCCTCCTGCGCGTGATCAGGTCTTCACTGGAAAGAATATTTGCAATGGCTTCGCAGGTGCTGCTGGTCTTAGGCCACTTGATAAAGACCGGGTTCTTAAAAAGATTAATTTTCAACTTCGTACGCCGACACCACCTCTTATTGAAGTTAAAGGGTCAATCTCCTCTGCTTTTCAAACACCTCAAAATCCTCGCCAAATTGATTGCAAGGTTCAGAGCCTACAGAGAAGTCTTCAAAAGAAAGGAACGCTTTCTAGCAGTCCAATTTCTCATATTCAACATCTTGAAAAGGCAGCGCAGATGGCAATGAATATGAACCTTCTTCTTCACCAAGAAATCAGGTCTCTACGCACTGGAAATGTGCGCAAATAGAAGAAGAAAGCAAGGGGGCATGGTTCTATTGGGGATGATCTCTTCATATCTGTACGGGAAGGTCGTGAGCGCGTTCAGCAGCTGGATACACAGCTTAATGAGCAGGTTGATGAGCCTACACCTGTAACTCATTGGCGCGCTCCACCACGCTGCAGTGGCTGTGCAACTGTCGCACATACTATCAGAAGCTGCCCTAGTAAATAACTATTCATTTCGTCTTTTAAATAGTCCATTTAAATGGTGTTCGTGGTTGAAAAGCTACAAAAATCATGTTGACTGCGGCCAAGATGCGCAACTCGGCCGTGGATTACGTTAATTAGGGGAGGGAGTAATGAAAGCCTAATTAGTTAGGAGCTAGACTCATATATAACAGATAAATATATTGTTAATATTGTCAATAATAGTATATTACTGTACAATAATAGGATGATGTATTATCTCCAGACGAGCCAGAATGTAATTAATAAATAGATTAATCTAGTAAAATAAACCAATATAATTAGTAAGTTAGCCCAGTAACAAACAGCAGTGATAGTAGGTATATTAATGCTAGCTCTGGAATAAAATCATTCAATTATAATCTCATATGAATAATAGATAAGTTGATAATAATAACTGGCTTACTATAATTATTATCAGCCATGGTACTCTTAACTATCATACTAAATTTTGTTGTGGAAAGTAATAATAAATCCTAAATCTAAATAAGAACAAAATAGCAAATGCAGTAATAATATCATATCTGAATAAAAAAAAAAAAATAAAGAAAACCCGAATAATTCTAATTCATTCTAACCTATTAACGTAAATCAACCATTGATCATTGAATTTATTATCCAGTAGGTCAAATATAAAACTACTCACTGAGACAATCCCTCATAGTGTGCCCAATAGTCCCACAGCCACTGGAGCTCTCTTCCGAGGCACAGGTGTAAGCTCGTCAGGTTAGTAACCCATTCACGGTTGCCCTGGATAACTATACGAGGTCTCTCACTGCGGTCAAATGCAGTAATCACTTTTGAAATTGAGCAGTCCCATGGCACAGCCGGTCTCTATGATTCTGGATATCCTCTTCATAGATAACATGTTCCTGGTAACTGCATTGACTGGTTCAGTCTACAAAGGAGGTTAATAAAAACAATTTGCTAGAAGTAATAAATAACATCAGCTTAGATCATTGTTATAATTCTAAATAAAAGTATTATAATTCCCACCTTATAACAACCAACCGCAGATAAGATAGGAATCTTTAAATTGTAAGGGTAACTGGCAAACAATGCTCTCTGTAGATCATTTGTAAGGCCTGCAAACGGGAAATATTGTCAATCAGGTTTTAAATTCGTTAGCTTTATATACCTGGAAGTCATAATTAAAAGTCAGTAAGTTGCATATTCAAGCAATCCAATGACATAGATAATAGCTACTTCACATATGGAGAGGACACAGGTCAACGTTTTCTATATTTTCTCTAAATAGAATGTCATGGCTCTGCGGATTATTTTAAGTATCCATATTATTATATTAAATCGTTATCACCATTTTTATACATTAATACCTATCCTGAATAAGTGATAACTCAAAAAGTGCCTATTCAAATGATAGCTATATATACAAGTAAGCAAGCATAAGGGAAGGGTGACTGGAGATAATTATATGGGTATAGGAGCTATGAGAACTAATCCCAATCAGGAAGGTAAATGATGATGAGCCATCGTGATAGAGCTTAGCTTTGAGAAGTAACGATTTTTTTTTTTTCTAAAAAAAAAAAGAGAAAGAAAGAAAAAAAAAGGGCAATTGTCAAGAAACAGGGCAGATGCCATAAATAGATACCGGGCAGTGTTAGAGATAACAAAGCATCATCAGTACATATAGCTATTTGAGAAATCTTACCATGGAAGTAATACCAACTCCCTAGAGCCTGCTTTAATAAAGAATAGAATGGCCCTTAAATTATTGTCTAAACAATGATTAAGGAGCCACTATGGATCTGAAGAACTCAAGAAGTCCCCTTATAAGCAGTACTTGCTCAGTACAGGTAGGATTTATCCTAATTAGAAGTCTTTATATCATGCACACGCGCTTGGGTAGGAAGCAAGGAAATTAAGTTTCAATATGGTAAAATCCGCAGCGTATCTGCTTATCGACCAAACAGCCATAAGCGCGTTTAAAAAACTGCAAAACAGCCTATATCTAATGGCTGTAATAGATGAGACCATGAGCCGGCGTATAGATTGGTATGATCTTATTTTGCTCGCAGGTTTGGTCGAATTGGGATGTAAGATGGCTACCATGGCCATCAAGTATCAATAACCGATAATTTAACCAAGATAGACCAATTAGATCAGTAGTCCATCCATTAGGTGAGAGATATCGATATGCCAGTTTGATAGAAGGTCATCAAACCATGATTCAAAAGACCTTGCCCTTAAAAATTAGATATGGTGTATGTCAGGGTGCAGGGTCAGGTACAGATATATTAGGAATTGACGAACAGGTTAAGCTACAGGTCAGGCTATCTACAGATACATAGACAAGACGCAGCTCGAAGAGCTGCGAGAGGATCAGCGCCAGGCACAGATAGATATCTCGTGTGGGTCACGTGCGCAGGACAGGCTGGCACCGTGACAGTGTAGTACGCATCCAGTAGCATTGATCGCTTCAATTGATGTGACCCATTTGCGATTACCAGGTTGCAATATAGGTTGTCGACCATAGTATTCAGCGCGTGCGATAACCCTAGCAGTGAGGCCCGTAGCAAAACCAGTCTCATTGAATTGATATATCTTCAGATGCGATACCAATTGTATGATTGTCTCTTGCACTAGATTAAACCATTGTTGTTGAATGATCGTTGGGTCTACATTTTCGGCGCGCTGATAGTCGTGTCGACAATTATAGCGCCTTTTGATCTCTGGTTGACGCTGGGTGAAATTATACCCCCATTGTTGGTTGACCAACAGTCTCTAGAGATGTCTGGCAGCGCTGAGCAAGCAGAATATTGGCTTTTTCTCGAACAGCAGTAGGGATAGGCGCTGCGCCACGTGAATCCATTGACAAAGTCTATTGAAGCGTATACACCTCAGTCTCAGTCAGCTTATGGTTGTTTGCGCGCGTATTATGGCGATTGGTATGGCCAGCTAACAAGACTCTACCCTCCTGCTCGGTCCATTTTTGAGAGGATTGAGAGCGATTTGGTGGCATGATAGGCAATAAAAAAAAGGTTAAGACGGATGGGTGAGATTCGGTTGGATAGTGCGTCGCTCGCTTACCGACCACGTTATACAATTTACCTTTACTAATTTATAGAAGAGACTTTTAATAGTGATTAGGATAGAGGTTTGAAGCTTACCAAAGGGCCAAGGCGTCTGATGACCATCATCTAGGCTGTGCTAAGTAGACTTATATATAATTTAATATTAAATTAAGTGATGTGGCAGTACTATATATAGATTACCGTAAATGGATTGTTTTACCTATCTTATTCAGGTCATATATAAAAGCCATAAAGTGGTAACTCATAGTTCTTAAACTTGATAAATTAGCTGATAAAATAATGTAGCTCACGGGTGAGTTGCGGACCCTGTATTCCTATATAAAGTAGCATTTTCAAATTCGCTACAACATACCCAGTTTATCCTTTGCTCAATATCTTGAGCAGCATGTTCTAGATAATGGACGGTCTATACTTTAATTACACCAAAGAGACATATATAAATTACCGTGTATTTTGATGTGCAGCATGTGTTTAACACAGTTATTCTTTTATTTTAAGCATAAGCAGCTCCTATCATTATGTATACTTATCTATGATTCACTGATATAATTCAACCCCATTATTGAACGTGGTTATTGTTGGGTTATGGCAGATTTGAAAATACTACTTTATATGGGAATACAGAGTCCGCAGCTCACCCGTGAACTACTTTATCGGATAATACTGCTATATTTCAGATTTAATATTAGTACACTTCTATTTTTATCCATTAATAGAAAAGTGGCTGATTTACAAGATGTATTTTATAGGTGGGAGTTTATAAGAATAATGTATCAATTTGTATAACCTTTATAGTTCCTGCATAACTCTGCTAATGCTGGAATAAACGATAAAACGATATATAACTGGCCCTAGAGATTCGAGACTTGAAATATCATTATTCTAGCTATATAGAGTGTCAGGTTGTTTTTAAATTCAATTAGAGATGTCTCATCTAATAGTTATTATAACCATACTTCGGGAGGTGGGAGAGTGCTGGTGCTATTGGGGCCTCGATCGGGGCCTCAATTAGCTCAGAAGCTTTCTAAACTAAAAGGTTACCTTCATGGGGTATCGGCCTTTTAGACCGTGTACGCTTATCTCTTTCTCAAGAATAGCGGCTGATTGCATGCAATTTGGCACGCTTTAATTATTTTATTTATTGCGGTACTAAGCGGACTTAATGGCTTCTTGGTCTCGTACTGAGTAATGCTTTAATTGACATGGATTGCTTTTAAAACTGCATGTAGTTCAGAGGCGTTTTCAACTCCTAACCACTGCCCTAGCTTTCTCCGGGGTGTTGGCGTACGAAAGCCGAATATTGAGCTTTGAAAGCACTCGATCAGAGTTAAAAGGCACTAAAGACCAGCTGCTGCGAATCTATTTCAATAGTATTAAGCTGAAAGCTTCAATTCATGTCGTGAATAGGCGGCAGGCCTCGAGAAAGTCTATCTTGTCAATATGGTTGATCCCAAGACGCGCTTTGGTTTCAACAAGCTGACCGTATGATCGCTTTAACACCACAGAACAGTCAATATCAATCAAATGGCTATGAAAGATGTGACGAATGTGCCGGCATACAAACTGTGATAATATCATTTTGACTGCAAACCTCGTCGAACTCCGCTGTCAAATGACTACTACTACCATGGCCGTCTAGAATCAAAAGCTGATATTTCCTTTTTTACGAATAATTGCTGACGGTATGAAGAGCTTTTGAAGCCACTGAAGCCCGATTTTATCAGCAGTCCATCCATTTTGGCTAACTTCAATTTGAAAGTTATGTATGGAGGCAAGGCCCCACCCTGACGCGCTTATTGCCCTGCCTCATTTGCAGTGACCCGTTAACGATTTCTAGGTTGTGATAAGGATCACCGATCCCATAGTATTCAGACCTTGTAGTCACTTTTGCGGTTGCAGTCAAGCCCACGAGTCGAAAGCTCCGGGGCGTTTTTATTTGGTTTGAGATCCAATTCTTCCCAACTGTTTGAACCGGGTAGGTCTACGCCTCGTGAGAAAAACTCGCAATTTTTCTCGTACAGTAAGCGGCCAGGGAGTTGAAGCGAGAATCCATAGAGCTCTTTTTTCTTTTTTTGAGCAATTCCTCTTCAATTTCTGTCGATTTCTGACCCGAATATTGGCACGGATTTCAGAGCGAAAAATGTAGTATGGAAACGGTTGTGTAAAGTAGCTTTAGGCACGTTAAAAGAATGCGCGGCCGCTTCACGAACAGCAATGGTTTCTCGGTTATTATAGCCAGAATAGCTATTGAAATCCTGCCTTTTTACTCTATTGAATTTCTAGAGCCTTGGAAATAAATTGGTGGCACAAAGTACTATGTTAAAGAGTTATAAGTAATAATGTTGAAGTCTAATAACAGATAGTACAATTATTGAATTCAATTTTACTAATAAATTCTTTAGAATTTTTACAGTGTGCTCTAGGCTTCATACAATTTTTGACTAAATTCTATAATTAATTAGCTTTATCTATTTCGAAAAAAAAAAAAAAAAAAAGAAAAAAACTGTTTCCGAAGCTTGTAAATTGGCCTTTTCAGTTTAACTAAACCTTCTTTATTAGTGCCTTTATAAAATGAGCAACAGTGTTATAATAAAGACCGTATACAGTCACATGACAAAATTATACGTAATTTTCTGCAACCACGAAAAAATATATAATCACCAAAACATTTTTTTTCCACATAAATCAACCAAACATCAACGTCTAATGGTTGAAGATGAGATGTATGCACAGGTATACAAAGAGGAATAATTGCATTTTGATGGCCATTCTAGCCATCAAGAAGAATAAGCAACCGCTTCGCACCAGTTGACTGCTGTTTAGAGTAAGAGTCAAACGCCAGCTGCTTAGGCCTGGTCCGGCCCAAAGCTAGGTCTACTGCTGCTTTAGCCAGTGAAGACCCATTTCATCTGTTGTTCAGCTATTGTGCGTGCTTCTTCTGACCGTGGTTGGATTCCACCGAGCAGTCAAGAAAGGTGGGTAGTCATAGGCACTCCAAAATACCGCGGCAGTTCTTGATTTTGATTGAATTTTTATTTTTATAAGCTTCAAATAGCCATTTGAACTCGGGATTCCAAAAAAGCAGGTATTTATGCGGTAGTGCTAATAAAAAGGACGCGTTGGAAAATGTTGGGAATTAACATGAAAACGGTCGGCTTGGTAGTATGGATGACTCGGTGGTTGATTATGTTATCAGTTTTAAGCTAGTTACCTATATTAGATATAGTTAGCTTCAAGTGATCTCATCTCCTAAATATTTACCATAATTTTATTTATATAAATGAGATTTTCATCTGCTGTACATGAAGCTATCAAGGAACACGGCATACATGAGGATGATGTCTGGAATTTCGATGAGACCAGCTTTATGACGGGATAGTCGTTAACCATTGGTTGCACAAACTCAAAAAGAATTCCCATATCACCTGCAGTTATCCTAAAATCCTAAGAGAACTGGGCTGCTTGGTATGAAGAGCCTTAATCTTCCTCTCGATTGGAAGCTTACCAACAGTAGCAATGGTTGAACAACAGATGAAATTGGGCTTAAGTAATTAAAGTATTTCTGATCCTTTTTCCAAATTGCATTCAACTGGTGTGAAGCAGTTGCTATCCTTAATGGCCATTCAAGTCATCAAACTGCTGGATTTTATGATTTCTACAAGGCAATTATCTATCTATATCTAGCCTTCGTTGAGCCCCCAAGTTATCTATATAAAGTAATAAAAGATTCATATAGCTGTATGACTTACACTATCCACGCACACACCCTCCAGGTAGTGGCAATCAGTATCGAAATATTATGATAATTACTATGATAAGGTCTTTTTTATAATGTGTATGCGCGCTTATGATCCTTCTTAAATATATAATTTTCTAATGATAAAATATCATTGGATGCCACTGACCATTCTTTATAATCTAAAAATATCTATAAAAAACAAAAACCGATGGATGCATCGAGTATTTTAACATATCTAATAGGGCCGAAGTGTGCAATATATACATTATTAAGAAAGGCCTTCTAACCTTTTAGAAGACCTTATAAGCTTCAGTTTAGTATGAAAGATTCTTTGGAGGCCTTCTCTTTAATCTTTTTCTTTTTTTTTTAAACAAAAAAGAAAAAGAGTAATATAGAAGGTTATTAGAGCAGTCCTTAATAACTAGTAGTAAAAGTGCATGATAGACCTAAGCATATATAAGCATAGTTTAACATCTAATTCATATTCTTGGGGGTTCGAAGAGTCTCAAACCAGTAGCTCAGGGCCTTTGGATCCTCCGGCTTTGCATGCTGGTGTGTAATCCTCCGATTTTGTATCTTGTAATGGTAACCCACAAGCGGGTCGTGCGCCCGTCGCGTTTTCTATGCAACTCAACCCAGCCAAGCAATCTAAGCCGCTCCCAATAAAGTCGAAATTCCATCGAACGAGAGGGCCGCCTCTTATTAGCTATACAGGCTATCAAAATTCAAGAAACTAGCTCTGTACGCCAGGAAGCACTGTTTATGCTGCATCTGAATCAACATTACGAGACCGGCTTCATGGCGAGATCTTTTGCGCTGAGAAACGTGTCAACAACCATAAACACCAAATGAAGAGGAACCACTCGCGTATTGGATTTCTCCATGGATCGACGTGGAATAGCTCCCCGACCAGCTCATATTGAAGCAATGATCAATATTCGTAATTAAAGCGTGGTTCTGTCAACATCCAAACTGTTGGTTTAATTGGGATTACAACTTCACTCGACGGCAAGATGAGCTCAAACCCAAATATTCTCGACATTATAATTAGTAGCGGGCTAAAAATGAGAATCTAAAAAATATTCAGGAGTGGTTTGATCGGGTGCATATTACTATCGCACTTGAAGATATCAACAACTTTGATGAGACAGGATATGCAATGGGCCTAATAGCTACTGCTAAGGCAGTTACTAGAGCTGAAATGACTGGTCAGCCCTTTCTTTCTTGTACAGCCAGGGAATCGAGAATGGGTGACATCTATTGAGTGTATCTTCAGAGAAAAAGTCCATATAGAGGGGATGGTATCAAACTAAGGCTTTACCACGCAATTGCAGGATTGAAATCTGATAATGGGTGGAAAACTAATCAGATTGGACTATAATGTCTTCAAAAAACTTTATTCCAGCTACAGATGGCTATATGACTGAAAAATATTAACAATCTGCATGCCTGCTCATTCATCACATCTCCTACAGACCCTTGATGTGGGTTGCTTCTCACCTTTGAAGCGGGCATATGGACGTCTGGTTAAGCCTGGACATTGTCCTTGGGTATACCCAAAAATTCACCCAATTACTCAACTTTTTACTAAATATAGTAATACCCGTGACTTGCATAATTTATGCAACCGTAGTGGTTTTTTGAGTAATTAACCTAGTAATCTAAAAAAGTATGGTAGTATCAGCTATATAGTGAAAAGTATACATTTTAACTGAATACACATCGAAGACCACTTTCTGATCTAAACTAATTTCCATTGATCGGAAATTCTTTGAAATTAACATACACTTAATTTACATTGTAGATTATCGTATAATAGCTTCTTGTAATATTATAAATGGTAAGTGATAAAGAGAGGCCTTTAAGATGGAAAATATCAAAAATAGCTTTGCTGCAAGTGGCCTGGTTCCTTCCAATCCAAAAAAGGGTGTTTTTGGCAGCTCAATATACAACTCAAGACCAACGTACGCAGAGTCCTCCAAGCCCAATGAATGATGCAATAAACTGGGTTCTCAGAGGGTGTGAAATCCATATGAATAATGCAATCCTTCTTTCCAGAGAAGTCCAGGATCTACGGGCTGCACATGAGAAGACGCTGCAAAAGCAGAATCGATCCAAGCGACAAATGGCTGGCACGAGTGGCCTGTCTATTCAAGGAGGCATAGAGCTTGTGCATTAGAGGAATAAGATCTAGAGAATTGAAGATACTGTACAGATGGAGACTTCGACATTCCAACCACATGTACGGGCGCCACCACAATGTTCTGATTGCAATTCTCTGGGACGTTAAAGGATTCAACTGTCTAGTCGCAGTAATAGTTAGCTTTCGTATATTAATACTATTCTGGATGTTTAAATTAGATATTTCGCTGTTCTTGGTCGGAAAGCGCGTGACCCGCTTGTGGGTTACGTTATGTAGCTCAGGGTGGCGTTTGAGTAAAGGAATAGAACCAGTTGATACCAAAAACTGCAGTAGGCCCTTGGGTATATTTAAATGATGTTTTTATTTACCCTAGTCTAGCCATCAATGGAAATATTCTATCTGGGAGAAAAGGGGAATATCTATCTAGCAGATCTTTGGGTTCTATAGATATTTGTATGACAGCATCAGTGCTCCATTTCCCGTCATTGCTTATATGGCCTTATTCAATTATTGATATGTTGGTATCATTTACCTATATCAACTTTGACGCAGCATTGAGCAATTATGCAATACCTCTTAGATGGATTTTCTCTTCGGACTATATTTAATATATTCGCTAATCATTAAGCCTTAGAATATTTTATGAAGCTAAGCAATAGATAGACTTTAGGTTTGTTAATGTATCGTGTATCGTTTTCTGTTCATATAATGAACTGTATTGATATCAATAGAATAAATAGATATAAGTTTACCTGTAATAAACATGTAAACTTAAATCTTTTTTTCAGTTAACTGTAGCTATGAGTTCTGGTTATTATTTGACTAATGACACATTAAGTATATATGCCGGGTTTAAAATACAACGTAATTTATTATACCTAAGCAATTAGTGGCTCTATCAATTTGAAAATCAAACTATATACCTTTTTAGCATAAGGATATGTTGTCTTTATTTTTTGTAGAAAAGAGCTGGAATGGTTGAGATATCTCAGGTTCCAAAGGTGCCATTTGCATGAGAATACATAAATCCGTAGTTCACTTGTGAAGTACGTAATTGAGTTAGCTTAACACATGCTGGGCATGCAGTAGTGTCTTACAATATGCCCATATAGCTCGCAGATATTAGATTCTCTAGTAACAATAATAATAGATTTACAATCTATAGACCTATACCAAAAAGAATGCATTTACCTAAACTTTTATCACCGTGCTTTCACTTAAGGCAGGCCAAACTAGCCTACAAATAACACGGATATATCAAAGTGTTCTCTATATTATTTAAATAGAGATTTCAGAACAATAGAAACTGTAAAATAGATAACAATGTATTTGTTTATTTAAGATTAAAAAATATTTAATTCGATCTCTACAATGCCTACTACTGCATTTATATGATTATATTTATATATAAAGATGAATAAGTAGAAAACCGTGATGACCCAATCCATCAAGAGGTAAAATCCGTATATTTGATAAGTAGAGCTATATGCGAGAATGATTGACATGAGGAAAGAGAAAGAAGGGATGGTGGGAGGATAGATTTTATCATCTAGTGATTGTTCCGTTGGGCGCTACACCATATTGGGTAAGCAGTGATCTCGTCCTTACCTGCATATCTCTCTTAATACCATGGTCCGACCATAGCAAAGTCTTATAGCAGAGCTCATAGATAGAAAAGAGTAATTTTGTATTCAAAGGTGATATAATCTATGTAGAAAATCTGATTGCTGGACTGCTGGTCTTTGGGTCTTTTGAAGTGAAGCCTAGCAGTGCGAGAATATTGAAGACGGGAGTCAGGTCACTCCCACTATAAAGTATGCCAGGGGCCCAGGGCCCTAATACATATTGCAAGAGTCCACACTGTGCTTGGGTGTCACCAACATATCTAGCCCTGATTCCCACGGAACTCATGTTTGTTGCAAAACGGGCCAATGGCCACGATCAATGTCAATTGACCCTGGGTTAATAAATTATGATAGGCATATGTTATTCATGCCCTGAGGCCCGAACCAAGTCTATCAATGGTAACTTACGACATACTCCTACTGGATGCACCGATGCAAATTCAATATTCAAGACCACTCTGGTAAAGGCCAATTGGTTTAGAGGTCAAATGTGACAGTATTTTTTGCTGGTACGTATGGTTAATATTGACAGGAGCATCAATTTAAAGAATCCCAAAGAATTGAGACAGCCTAGCCCCCTCCCCTCTTTTTTTTTTTTTTTTTTTTTGCGTGGTTCTGGGGTGGTGTTTGTGATTCTGTGCAGTTTTCGCTACTTATTAGGCCTTTCACTCCCGGTTGCTTGATTCACCGGCATATAGCTTCCTACGCATACAGTTCCAATTGTCCAGTTGAATGATCATTGAACCTCTAGTCATGGCCCTTGAAGCTCAATTTATTGTCTACGGAGTATAAATCTAAGCGATCATGTGGTCTTAGCCGGACCAAATTTGACCAAACACCGCGAGCGGCTTTGTACGTGTAGTATGACTCAATTGACATCGCTGCTTATCAATCACCATGCCCGAAAATTGGTACTACTAGTACATACTGCCCCACTTCCCCACTGTATTACTGATAGTCTTTTGCCACAAGCCTTGTGATAGCACATACTACTATTTCCTTTCCTTTTTTTTTTTTCATATCAACGTCGAAGAGCATTTACCCCCAGATTTTAGACCAACCGAAGACCCGTTTGGACCGACAAGTATACTCGCATACGTGTTCATTTCTGGACTGTTTAGTTATAATGGCGCCGTCCATTGCCCTTGACAACACGCCCGATTTTCCATTTGGCCAGTACACACCAGGGAAATCTCTCCTACTTTCTCCGCCGTCATTATCTTCGCAGCCAGATAAGCTCAATGCAGCCCTTCTTTCTTGTGGCCGAAACGCGACCGATCTGCAAATGCTCGATCGCCTGGCACTTGGCTTTGTGTCTTTACCGGATTTGACTTACGATAGTATCATTATCTTGGCTGATTCCGACGACACATTCACCGAAAGCCTAAAGATTCTTGGACGCGAACTATTTGCAAAGATTGTTAAATCACTAAAACCAGGAGGGTATCTACGCAGCCAAGGGGGAGCGCATGGATCGTTCGACAGTCTTTACCAATCTGAAGCAATATTGGCTGGGTTGGTAAGCGATAGTGAGAGGGGTTTTCAGAAGCCGAGTTCCGGACAACAGCAGGCCATACCGCTGCAACTTGGAAGGAAGAAAAAAGACCGCGGAAAATTGACAAATGGTTTTAAGGCCACTCAACAATCAAAAAATGATACCACAATTGAGGCAAACAAGTTCGACCAACCGGCTGGCGTTGGATTTATTGATTTCAGTGATGATTTGAACCCGGAATCTGTTCAAGATAACAATTCGCGCTCAGACGACGAGTTTATTGATGAAGATACTCTGCTTGGTGATGATGATCTTGGCCGTCCCATCGTGCAGCGTAAGTATTTCCTATAGGTTGCTAAGACCAATCTCTGGGATTTTCATCTACCTGGGATTTTCATTTACATTGCTAACTCAACTTTCTAATATCTTTAGCACCTGAATGTCGTCCCAAGGCCGGGAAGCGTCGGCGAGCCTGCAAAGACTGTACATGCGGCCTCGCACGGAAAATTGAAGATGAAGATGCTGGAAAGAGGGCCAATGCTGACAAGGCACTAGACTCCATGAAATTGGATGGGGATGAATTAGCCGAAGTTGACTTCACTGTGCAGGGTAAATTGGGAAGCTGTGGAAGCTGTGCACTAGGAGACGCATTTCGCTGTGACGGGTGTCCTTATATCGGCCTCCCCGCCTTCAAGCCGGGCGAGGAAGTCAGGCTATTAAATAATGATGTCCAGCTCTAATTCATTTATGAGTAGTTTCGGGCTGCAGCAAAGGCCATTGAGCTTGTGTGTTCTCCCACGCCTTGAGATTTGGGCATCTTGAGTAGATTTTGACTACTCATTTCCAATCCTTTTCTTGCACTTGGTTCTACGAAGTAAAGCTTGACGTTCCGGGTTTCATTCTAGTGCAAATCCGCGCGCGATCTTGTCCTCTTTGTAAAACCATCTGAATCTTGCGTAACGTAAGGCTTTTCTGGACGTAACAAGGAGATGGCAAAAAAAAAAAAAAAAAACCCTCTCCCCCTCCCCGAAAGTACTGCTCATGCCAAGTCTTTCATACTCCGCATATGTAGCATTAGTAATTCTTACCATTCGACCAATTAACCAATATAACCTTACCGCTGCTTCTCAAATCAAACACTATTTTTGCAACATCAATAACTTGCTCGCTCGTGGCTTTAGAGATCTGGAATTGTATATCGATTGTACTTTCAGTTCTTTTTAATTACTTGTCTGCTCTGAGATCCTTGACCTTCGACCCTTGATCTTAAGAGATTTGTTTAACGTGAAGACCGAGGCGCTGAACCTAGCCATGTCATTTTCCAATTTGGTCTCTGACATCGCATTCAGAGATGCTCATCCTGATGACCGGAGCTCTCAGATTTCCCATGCTCGGTCTCAAGCTACTGCTCGATCATATACAAGCACCACTGCCACCAGTGTCAGTATATCGGGTGATATCTCCAGTCAATTGCATGCTGGCTACAGTCATCCATTAAGTAGATCATGGCAGGCTGAGAGGCAATTGACAAAGGTATGCACTGTTTTGTATAATTGAAAATTTTTTTCTTTCTCTGCTTCTTCTGCTTGTCTCCTTATCAACCCTGACTTTGAATAGGAAATGCTCATCTACCCGCTATTTATTACGGACAACCCGGACGAAGAGGTGCCGATTCCGTCTTTACCTAATCAACATCGACGAGGTTTGAATCGCCTAGTTCCTTTTCTGAAACCGCTTGTTCAAAAAGGCCTGCGCTCGGTGATTTTATTTGGAGTTCCCCTGCATCCATCTGCCAAGGATGCACTGGGGACAGCTGCAGACGACCCTACCGGTCCGGTAATTCAAGCAATCCGCCTCCTTCGATCTCGCTTTCCTCATCTTTACATTGTGACGGATGTCTGTCTCTGCGAATACACGTCACACGGCCACTGTGGGATACTTAAAGAAGACGGCACCCTTGACAATGCACAGTCGGTAGATCGGATTTCGGATGTGGCATTAGCATATGCAACAGCCGGTGCGCATTGTGTGGCCCCATCTGATATGAACGATGGAAGAGTGCGCGCCATTAAATTGAAGCTGATTGAGGCTGGCATGGCACACCGTGTCCTGCTCATGTCATACAGCGCGAAATTCAGCGGTTGCTTATACGGCCCTTTTCGTGATGCAGCAGGCTCTTGCCCATCATTTGGAGACCGTAGATGCTATCAACTCCCACCAGGGGGTAGAGGGCTTGCGCGGCGTGCGATAAAGCGCGATGTTGGCGAGGGCGCTGATATCATAATGGTCAAACCTGCAAGCAGTTACTTAGACATCATTAGGGATGCGAAAGAACTTGCCGAGGATTTACCTGTTGCTGCTTACCAGGTTAGCGGTGAATATGCAATGATTCATGCGGGCGCCGCAGCAGGAGTTTTTGACTTGAAGTCAATGGCTTTTGAGAGCACTGAGGGCATCCTGAGGGCTGGCGCTGGTATTGTAGTCAGTTATTTCGTGCCAGAGTTCCTGGATTGGCTTTCTTGAGTGCTCTGCCCTTTGTAAATAGGGATCGCTCTCAGCATGGGCATATGGAAAATTGGCGGAATAGAAATTGATGCTGGATTTTTGCTTGTCACACGAAACTTCAGACTATATGGGTCGTACAGACTACTAAGCCGGTAAATTGTACCCATATTATTTCCATAATAATTATTTAAATATAGTGTACTCCGTAAACTGGAGATCTTAATCAAGGGTCTTGATATTTCTCCATCAATGGTCAGACATAGACAACACAACCGAAATCGGATATCTCTAATTATGTTCGTTTTGCGTGTAAATGCTACATATAACTTGGTTTTAGACCTTGAAATCCATAGGCAACGATGTCAGTTTTAACAACTTCCCCAGGAGCCACGTAGGCACCTCTTCGAAGGCGCACCCCAGGATAAATTGTACAGCCAGCACCGACATAACAATCCTCCTCGATTGTGACAGGACGTCCTTGATAGCGGCTTTGGGAGCCCTTTCGTTCTTGCATATTTGCATGCGCCATGGAGCTGAGTATAGTTACCCTGGGGCCTATCCACGTGTGAGCCCCAATGCTGATGCAACAGTCATCCACGAAAAGACAGTTCCCCGAAATCATTACGTCTTCACTGATATGGATGTTATACCCATAATGGCAATGAAAAGGAGCCTCAACAACAGCTCCTTGTCCAATTGATCCTGCCTGTCGAGAGGCGGTGGCACCGGAAGGTGAATTGACAATTGAGTTTGGAGGCACTAAAACCTCCTTGAGCAGGCGATTCTGCTCTTTTGTACTCAAACCAGTCACAGGGTTACAGGAATTATTGAATCGCCACAAAGAAGCTTTGCATCGTTCTCTTTCTTCCACCAAATGTATGTCGAACGGACGGTAAAGTTCGCCACGAATCATTTTCTCTCTTTCTGTTTCATCCCCTGTGACAGTGCGATTTGATAGTTGGTGCTCTATGCTGAGCGCCATTCTGGCTTGTGCTTGCGGGCTGCTGGTGTCCATGTTGTTGGCGTGCGCAGGTCGCTGATCGATTGTGCCCTGGAACAGTGGCACACTTGGTTTTGGATGAGTACCATGTGAAGAGAGCTCTCGGATCGATGGCACTACTTGATAGTCCGATTTTGTATGCTCGTCTCGAGAAAGTTCATGGATTGGCGGGACCTCCCGATAGTCGGTCTTGGCCAAGTGGTCCGAGACGTAAGTCGAGTGGCCTGCACCTGGCCAGACCCGCTTTGACCATGATGGACCACGACTGGATCCAACTCCAGTCGGACTGGTTGGGTATTGTGTAGTAGGTGTGCGGTCATTTTCATCGACAACAATAGATCTCATTTTCCCCGCCTCTAGCTGGTCCGTTAGACCCTGCTGTCGATCATGCTGCTGGCCCATATCGTGCATATAATGATTTCCCACGTCTGCGTAGCCTTCTTTGGATTGCAGAGGGACCGGCGCCTTTACATTGGACGGCTTTTGCCATGTACTCCGCGACGAATAGCCTTCACATAGAAACCCACCTCGAATGCAATTGTTGCCTGTCAAAGGGTGGTTAGAAAAAGAACTTAATATCGGGTTGCCATGAAAAAAACTCACAGGCAGGATGTTGCTCGTCGCACTTCTTCTTCCTCCTGCGGCAGGTCATACACCCGGTCTTAGTGCGATTGCTAAAAACGCGCTTTCTCTTCGGGGCTACCTGAACAGCAGTTTGCGACCGCTCTTGGGAATAAGTGGACAACGGCGAAGGCTGCTCGCCACTTTCTAAAGGGCGGTTAACTGACCCCCACCCTTTCTGAACCGCATCATGGCCCTGAGCTTCGCGCTGGAGTGCCTCTGCCAATTGCGCATCGGAGGCATCGATTTGTTGGGCACGCTGCGCTTGGTTAATCAGCTGAGAGTCGTAATCATTCCACGGTGCATTTGCTGATGGCGTCCGAGAACCCTCACCCGCTTCGGGCCGAGAGTGCATTGCTGGCGGAGTATTTTTTAGCTCAGGTCCTGGATGACATGTCGCTGGCCCGCTCGTGCCGGGAGGCAGCACATGCGAATCAGCACTGTCTTCCAGCCGGAAACCAGGGCTACGGGGGATGCTAGTACCGTGGTAGGAGTTTTGAGGATCCTGCTGTTCGCCTGACTCTGATCGTTTTCGCTTGTTTCGGTTGATGCTTGACTGGCCATATTGAGATGGGGATCCTTGTGGAGGCCGATCTTCTTGGTCATTCCCAATGCCTCCATTTTCTCGCGGCCGTTCATCCTGGCGGTACTGGGCATCATATCCGCCCTTCCCCCAAGCCTCTGACAATTCCCGATGTCCTTCGTTGCTCGGCGGGGGATTAGGAGTAGGTGTGTTTGCTCCAGGCACCGGTGGTTCCCTCCCATTAACGGCCGTGAATCGAGAAGGGCTTTGGTCAGAATTCAGTTCCTTCTCCGAATCCTGACCCCCATTCACAACTGCCGCAGATGCAACTGCACTCATATCGGACGAAAGAGTTATTAGGATTTCGTGCTCAGGCCAGAAAATAAAGGGAAAACTTTCTTGATCAATATTCTATGCAATTCCTTCTGCTGTGAATCGCGGGCGATTTCGTTCACGTCAGATTGCGCGACCCTAAGGTGTCTTCAACGAGCCCTCAGATTCTTGGGCTCGGACTCAACGCACCATGCAGGTGAATTGTACTCCCGGCGAGTAATGTATGAAGATGCTGCGTAAAAGTAGCACCACAATGTTGTTAGATGATGGACAACGTCAGGAATAATCCACGCAGATAGCTTTCCACGTCGTTTAAGTAGGTAGATAGATAATAGCCCACGCGATCTGAGGAAACCAAATCAGAAGCCAATAAGTCTATCAAAAGCCCCGCAAACGAACTGTCCAGTTATCCAGAGTTCATGCAAAGAAAAAGGGTCGATTGTCGAAGCGCGCAAAGACTATGATGGAAAGCGACAACCGCAAAACGCCAAAAGCGCAAGAAAGACGGGCGATTAGGATGAGACGGTGAAAAGTCGCAGTACAAAGTATAAGATAGTATGGAAATGCGCTTAGAAGCGTAGAGTGGAAAAAGGTCTTGCTTCCTTTTCCTTTTCTTTTGGCAATTTATTCCGTGCTCTGTATAGATTCGATGCTACTTGATAGTGGCGGTGGTAGTAACGCTAGATGGTGAATTTCGGATGCAGGATAACTATCATTAGGAACAGTAACGCAGGCATGTATTGAAGGAAAATTGATAGTGAGCAATCCAGTGGACAGGATAAGAAGAAGATAAGAAAGACGAAGTGAAGGCAAACGATAGAAAAATGAGATAAAAACGAAGAAGGGAAAAAGAGGGAAGCAAATAAGGCCTTCGAAAATAGAGGGGCGAAGGGGAAAAAGGCGTACTAGTTAATACACTGAGTAGAAATAAGCCAGCGCCTGAGTTATACCGCAGTGAAAAGAGCAAAAGGAGCAAAAAACCAAAGACAAAACCAAAGACAAAACCAAAAAAAAAAAAAAGAGAGAGAGAGAGAAAGGGCGCCTAGAATATCATAATACGCAGTAGGAAACCTAACTCCTAGAGGGGGGGTAAAGAGAGAAACCACCAATAGTCAGAAGCGTACGAGTACACAAGTTACAAGCCCCCCCTCCCCCCGAAAACAAACCAAAAAAAAGACTCGCGCTAGGCTGCGGCTGCCAGCTGGCTGAGCCGCTGAGGAAGCACTTGACTGGGCGAAAGTGACGTTGGCGCGCGATCGACAATGGCCGCGCGACGACACTGTTGACGCTGATTGGCTTCATCTTTCCACAGGACCCGGCTTGGTTTGGCCCCGCGCGGGTCAGCGAGTCTCCAGTTGGCTTGAAGGTTGGGCAATAGCGCGCTCAGGCGACACGCCACTCCCAGTCAAAGGAGGGGGATGGTCGGCTGTCGGCACGCTTGTTCCCGCTTCCCGCCTTCCCCTAATGTGACCGTCTTGTCTGTTTATTATTTATTTATATTATTATTTATTTTCTCTCTTTCCGCGAGGGAAGCGCGGCATGGCGCCCGACCGCGGGAAAAATTGCTTGCTGCTCAGTAATATCTATGTATACTACACACTATATTCTGAAGCTCTATTTATTATATAAGGTCACCTTTATAGATGATCTCTAGTTATCCGTATTATGTACTAATAAAAATACATGTGTGGCTCACTCTGCACTGTAGGGTCGCTTATTAAGGCTATGTGAGACATTTGGACGCTCGCCAAATTATTCGCCATTAACGCCGCAATGGATCGACAGGCGCGTTTACTCTGTATTTGTACATAGTACTCTGTACCTCCGTAGCATGAAGTATAGATTAATTTTTCCTACTACTACTGCTACTATAATTTGGTGTTGATGAATTTGCTCTATGAAATATTTCGTATGGAGTACACTGAATGATTTGAATGGATATCGATAATTCTTTATTCAAACATTTTGTACCTGAGCTTCTGTGCTCAAAAGGTAACACTGCATGTGTTTCAACTTATTCGAGCATTAAGAAGAGTAGTAGGATGGATTTCTTGGGTAGTCCGAATAATTTTTATCATGGTGATTATCCGAAGGAATAATGCACTTCACTTTGAATGTTATCCTTTTGTAGCAAATTTATTGGCTATGCATACCCCTGGTACGGAGTAACTACATAACCCTTCTTATCATTATGCTTGGGTAACTCCGTACGTAACTAAGTAAGTTAGAGCTGGATGACTAAGCATAGGCGAGCTTCTCTATCTCTTGATTGAACAATACCAAGTTCTTCACCGCCAGTGAGCCTGAATTGTATTATCCTTACACCCAAATTTGCGTCACTGTTAGACTACCTGCCATTTTGTTTGCTTTCCTTTTTGGGCGGTTGCTTAACTACGTACCTAGTACATTCCGACGAACCCCTCCAAGGAGCCTCAACCCCACCAGCCATTCTGCACGGTCCGAATTTACCTTGTACTCTGTACATCCTTCAGAGATACTTGCAGTTTGGGCTTCCTTAGCGTTATCTCCTCTTCCTTGATTTTCTCTTCTTTATTCTCCGCGCATTCTTTCTGGATCCCGGGTATCGTGTCGAAAATCAAGTTGTGCAAAAGGCACTATCGCCAAGTTTTGGAGCGGGATGTCTGTTTCCATACAGGAGTTGGACAACACTGTCCAGGCCTTTTATGAGGGCAAAGGGGATTTGGTAGGTAAATTTCCGTTTGATTCTAAAAGAGTCTACTTATTCTTCGATTCTGTCATGTAAATGCAAGTCGGATCAAGATTGCTGACATTGTCGTCTCTCAACAATAGCAAAAGCAAGCCCAACAGACTTTGACGGAAGTAAGGACACAGTGCACGACGCTCACTTGGAACATGCACATCTGACTGGTTGACCGAATTCAGTTCAAGCAAAACCCCGATGCTTGGTTGATCGTTGGGAATATCCTTCAAGAATCATCTTACCCGCAGACCAAATGTATGGCAGCCCATATTCCGGGGTAATGAATGAGAAACAAAAGAAAAGAAGAAAGAGCATGCTGATAAAAGGCAGATCTTGCTCTGCAGGTTTTGGACGATGTGATAATGACCCGGTGGAAAGTTCTACCTAGAGAACAATGCCTAGGTAAGTTGGCTTGCTGGAATACAAATCTCCTTTCATGATTCTAAATCTCTGCTTCAGGCATTCGGAACTTCATTGTCAATTTCATCATTGAGAGCTCTAAGACGGAAGAAAGTCTCAGAACTGAACGCGCGCTCTTGAACAAACTCAACCTCGTTCTTGTTTCCATTTTGAAACAAGAATGGCCGCGCAACTGGCCGACCTTCATCAACGAGATCATTGCATCTTGTCACACCAGTCTCTCCATCTGTGAAAATAACATGGCCATCCTTCGACTTCTGTCTGAGGAAGTATTCGACTTCTCGCAGGATCAAATGACATCCGTCAAGGCTAGGGACCTGAAAACTTCGATGACACAGGAATTCTCATCTATTTTCCAACTATGCTCTGAAGTTCTGGGTACTGCAAACCAAGCTAGCCTGGTCAAAGCTACGCTTGAAACGCTTTTGCGTTTTCTTAACTGGATCCCGCTAGGATACATCTTTGAGACACCCATTATTAACACGCTTTTAACGAGGTTCCTTGAAGTCCCGGAATTTCGCAATGTAACTCTCAAATGTCTCACAGAAATTGGGGGCTTGCAAATTGGAAGTCCATACAACTACGATGAGAGACTGGTGCATATGTTTACGGAAACACTTACTATAGTCTCCAAGACTATTCCGCTGTCAATGGATCTGAAGCAGGTGTTTTCAAAAAGCAACTCAAGGGACCAGGAATTTGTGCTTAATCTGGCCCTCTTCCTCTGCAGCTTCTTCAGCGCCCATCTCGATGTATGTGTCGAATTCTATACCCAGATTGATATTTTTTTTTGAGATCCGGGCTTTGCAATGCTAACACATACGCCTGTCAGCTTATCGAGAAATTACCGAACCGCGATTATCTTACCCACGCGCATTTCTATCTTATCCGTATCAGCCAGATTGACGATAGGGAGGTTTTCAAAATTTGTCTAGAATATTGGACAAGGCTGGTCCAGGAACTCTACGAAGAGATGCAGCAACTACCGATAACAGATATCAACCCCCTGGTGAGCATGGGCGTGAGCGGTCTTTCGAATGGGGGTGCACCGCATCCCAGCACTTTGGCCAATTACCCTCTTCGTAAGCACAAATATGAAGAGGTACTGTCAAGTTTACGTACAGTCATGATTGAGAAGATGGTGCGGCCGGAGGAAGTTTTGATTGTTGAGAACGATGAAGGGGAGATTGTCCGCGAATTCGTCAAGGAAAGCGATACAATTCAGCTTTACAAGACCATTAGGGAGTGCTTGGTTTATCTTACCCATCTCGATGTCGTCGATACAGAGAATATCATGATCGACAAGCTTGCCAAACAAGTTGACGGATCGGAATGGTCGTGGGCGAACTGCAATACTCTTTGCTGGGCAATTGGATCGATCTCTGGCGCGATGAACGAGGAAACTGAGAAGCGCTTCCTAGTCACTGTCATCAAGGATCTCCTCGGTCTCACGGAGATGAAGCGTGGGAAAGACAACAAAGCCGTTGTGGCGAGTAATATCATGTATATCGTGGGACAGTATCCTCGTTTCTTGAAGGCGCACTGGAAGTTTCTGAAGACAGTCGTGAACAAGCTATTCGAGTTCATGCATGAAACGCACGAAGGTCAGTTGCCTGGCAGCGAGTGAGGGAATTATATTCCATGCTAACCCACACTAGGTGTTCAGGACATGGCCTGTGATACATTCATAAAGATTGCAAACAAATGCAGGCGACACTTTGTGGCGCTCCAACCTGGGGAGAATGAACCTTTCATCGAGGAAATTGTTCGCAACATGAGGAAGATTACTTGTGATCTTTCACCGCAACAAGTCCATACGTTCTATGAAGCATGCGGTTATATGATTTCAGCCCAGGGCCAAAAGGGTCTACAAGATCGGTTGACCGAGAATTTGATGGCGCTTCCTAATTCTGCTTGGGATGCCATTATAGCTCAAGCGAACCAAGACCCTTCAATCCTCCAAGACGGAGAAACAATCAAAATCATCGGGAACATCATGAAAACAAATGTCGCCGCATGCTCCTCAATTGGTACTTACTTCTATTCTCAGATAGGCCGTATCTACCATGACATGTTGAATATGTTTCGAGCTTCTAGTCAACTCATCAGCGACGCTGTCGCCAGTGACGGTAATTTCAACCTGAATTTGGCGTTATTTATACCCAACAGCAGAGCTAACAGTTTCGTAGGCAACATTGCGACCAAAACGCCTAAAGTCAGAGGGCTCAGGACGATAAAGAAGGAAATACTCAAGCTCATTGACACTTATGTGCAAAAGACGGACGATTTGGAGATGGTCAGTGTGAACATGGTACCACCACTTCTCGAAGCAGTCCTGGTGGATTATAATCGAAATGTTCTCGATGCACGCGAGGCGGAGGTCTTGAACGTTATGACAACGATCATTCATAAACTACACGTGAGTCAATCATCAACTGAGATCGACCTGAAATTTGATTTGGTCTTACACATCGTTCTTTTAGAATTTGATGGAAGACAAGATACCGTTGATCATGGAAAGCGTTTTTGAATCCACGTTGGAAATGATCAATAAAGATTTCCACGAATATCCAGAGCACCGTGTCCAGTTTTTCAAACTGCTACAGGCCATCAACTTGTATTGTTTCCCAGCCTTGCTCAAACTTGATGCAACACAATTCAAGTTTGTGATTGATTCTTGCATGTGGGCCAGCAAACATGACAATCGCGAAGTGGAAAACACTGGCCTCGCGATGTGCCTTGAACTGATGAATAACATGGCCGAGACTGATGCTCAGACATCGAGTATCTTCTTCCGTCAGTTTTTCATCCCAATTTTGCAGGACGTGTTTTTCGTTCTCACCGACAGCGATCACAAGGCGGGTATGTATTTGCATTCACTGTCCCTTTTAAAGGGGGAAATGAAAAGGCCGAAAGCTCACTACTTTGTTTGTTTCCCTAGGGTTCAAATCTCAAGCAATGCTTTTATCACGCATGTTCTACTTCATTGAATCTGGCAAGGTGCAGGATCCTATTTACCCGCCTGATCAAGTCCCCCCGGGAACATCAAATAAAGAATTTTTGCAAGAATATGTTGCGAACTTATTGCAGACTGCCTTCAAAAACCTACAGGAGTGAGTTTGTAATACCTCCTATGAACGAAGAGTGTGCTAATTGTATTTCAGAATACAAATCAAGCAGTTCGTCATCGGCCTATTTACTTTCAATGATGACTTCAATAAATTCAAAACCCACCTGCGAGATTTCCTGATCTCATTGAAGGAGTTTGCAGGCGATAATGCAGAGCTCTACGCAGAGGAACGGGAGCAGGCTTTGCGTGATGCGAAGGCCGCGGAGAGAGACCGTGCGATGAAAGTCGGGGGCTTGTTGAAGCCATCGGAAATGGACCAAGAAGATGAGCTATGACTCGAGAAAGAACTGCGCTGCGAATTTGCGCAACTCGTATCAACTGGGGTTGCAAAACATCCGGAAGAGTCTGGGAACCCCACGGGAGGAGACTGGCTCGATGGTTGGTCTCTGTATGGGTTTTGAACTGGAAGGGAACCACTTATTTATCGTTCATTTGATTTTAGGTTCGGATATCTTTCTTTTCCTCGTTATGAACTACCGGCAACAACTCCCTTCTTACCCATCTTTCACTGCTAACGATTTGTGCTTTGTGTGCCTGGTGGCTGTTGAAACACAATGTGTGCATCTTGATGCATGATTAGTAAATACTCTCTTGGTTTTGCTTCTTTTTCTACTATTTTAGGTACTTGCAGCTCAACTAGTCCCCACAAAAGAAAAGATTGACATAATAATACTGTTTACTTACTAGCTATGTATTTAAACATTTGAAACTGCATTTTGATCAGGCGGTACCCCTGGTACTCCGTAGAAATGTATTTCATCATTTGCGGCAAAGGCGGTGTGGGCAAATTCGCCGGGAACTTTTTGTTATCATTCTCATCGGTGCCATATAATTCATAACTAACAATCCTATTCACGCCGAATACTAAGCTTGCAAAGGATGCCCCAAACTCGCCAAGTGCCGTCGCCTGCAGCATCAAACTCTCAAGTCCTCCAAGTCCCTGATGATCAATCTGCAATCCGCATCTCAGGCACATTGAGGCTGAGGGGGGATGATTCAAATTCCTCAAATATCAACACCGGAAACACTCCAAATCGTCATATCAGATGGGGCCAAGATGTTGTTGACAACGAAGGAATGGGCAAGAAGAGTTCCAAAGGTGATGAATCTTTCTTCATTACTTGCTTTAATTTCATCGTATTGGAACCGCTCATGTGGATAATGACTGAACTGATTGTAACTTAGTGTGCTGTATATATCATAAACCTCGACCTGTCGGTGAGAGCAGCTCAGAATCAGAGTCCTCTGATTCCGATTCCGATAGCGATAGCGAGGCAGATCGCCATCAAAACAGACAAAATCGTTCACAACATCATCTGGGTCACAGGGAGAGCTCACATCACCAGCACTCATCTCAAGAAGACTCAGAAAAAGGTCATACAGCCTGTTGTACAAAACATCATGGCAAGCAAGGAAAGCAGAAAAAGCCAAGCCCAAATGCTTATGAGAGAATGCCAAAACTATCAAAAGGCATCACAAGTCACAAGGCGCATAAATAATTATGGATCAAATTCCAAGTCTCTTTAGACATAGGAAGAGATTAGTCAATCCGCTTTTTTTTTTCAAGGCTCTTGAGAGCTGCTATTGCACATTTGATAAGGTAGACATGTGCATTCAGTATGACATTATTGAGTCAGTCAATCAATTTCCATCCTATCAAAGTGGATAGAAACCCTTCAATATGCCATCAGTCTATGTGAGATGCACATTTTCGGGGAATATAAGCAGTTTACTACAATTTAGACGGCATTGTAGTGGCCAGGAACACAATAGTGGTAGCAATGACAACAGCATATTCGTCCCCTAGTGTAGCCGAATAACTGATAGTTACAAAAACATCTCGCTGAAAAGGCACAAAAATAAAGCAAGACCAAAAGAAAGCTTTGGTATCATAGTTGTCAAAGGATTATATTTTATATCATCATGCTTTTTCTCCTGCTACCAGTACGTTGACCACGTCTAGCTTGCCTGCCATCTGTCCCTGGAACTATGGCACGTCCAACGTCTGTCTGGGAGTTCATTGATTGCGAACATGATCCTGCTTCTAAAGAAACGTTGTCTGATCTGGCCAGCGTAAATTCGTCATAATCCAATGCTAATGCATCTCTGGGGTTTACTCGAAATGAGTCAGTCGAACCAACACCACTCTCGGACGTAAGGCTTTGCCCCCTAAGGTTTGATGAGTGACGTCGAGCCTGCCTGGTGGCCAACTTCGCCGGCGGAGCGGCATTCCAGTGTGGTCCATTTCTCTTGGTAGTTCCATTTTCCAGAATAGCGGTACTATCTTCGCCATCGATTTGTTGATCATTGTGAATGCCGCAATGTCGTGTTGGGCGTGTCAGTGCCATTGCCTCAACAGAAGGGCCGTCACTGCTTGCAGGTAAAGTCTTGCGTTTCCTCTGGGAAATCGTAGTCATTGAATTTTCGGCGACCCCCTCCTGGGTTTCAAAAGAATGATTTTGGACACTGTCGGTTGTCTCAAAGTGATAAGAGCTTCGCATACTACTCGAATCCCCACTTCTTCGATCGTCTCCCCCATCGCTAGCATTCGCGTGGGGGCTTTGGATGTTCGACGTTCTTCGAGGATTACCACCCATAACTGCATCCGCAAACTCGTTCGTAGGTCGTCTCATTTTGTCTCTGAGGTTGGGCTCTGCATAGCTAACAACAGATCGCTGACGCCTTGTGGGACGGGTGGCACCCTGTGCATTAGAGGTTGCCTCATCTTCAGGTATTTCTGGCGCGGATGATGAATTATGTTCTGATTCTAGGCACTCAGTAGGATGTTTTGACCTGTCATCTTCTGGAGCTGGTTGATTAGCGTAATGGGCGAGCGGCTTCGTATCCATCCCACTTTCTTGGTGGCTCATTTCCCTTCCATTGGTCAAAGATATCCAGTCTGTATCCTCTATGTGAGCCTTGTCCTGGGCTTTTTGGTCCCGTAGAACCCGATCACGTTTTGAAGGAACTGCACTGATATTTGTGCTCTCTATTGTTTTCCAGTGGTTAGTTTCGATAGGCTTGCTTCGGAACATGAAAGGGATAAGTTGCATACTCGGCTCAAGCACTTTTCGCTTTGATGAACCACGATCCCTCGATCCTCCCTTTTTCTCTACCTGGGTTTTAGATGGTGAAAATTCGTCATATATGGATGTGTGTTGATTTTCCGGGCTCTGTAGATGACTAGCTCGGCTATATTGAAAATCATCATCACCATCATCTGTTGTTGCCGATGAGAAGAGATCGGCTTCTTCCGAAATAAATTTTCGCTTGGCTCCTGACTTCAATGAGAAGTTCACGTCGTGATGCATAGAGACCGCGTCAGGGCCGAAGGCACGTTCCGTCTTGTTCATTGCGACAGGGCTCGGTTTTCTCTTCTTTCTCGTTTCGAGAGTTGGAGGAAGTAGGGTGTCGGTCTCTTCAGCATCGGTGTGCATTATCTGATAATCAGCCAAGCCTTCTGGCAGCTCTTGATTGAAGTGAATGCGTTCTTCTTTCTCAATGGGTGTGACTTTCTCTATATCAGGCGATCTTGGAGAACATTCCTCATTCTGAATGATGTCGTGCAGCTCCTGAGAGCTTCCAAAGAGTCAGTCATATTCAAGTGGCGAAGCAATCAAAGACCTAACGCGCATTCAATATATACGTACTCCAATGTCTTCCGTGGGTAGCACTTGTCTTCAAGGATCACTGGAAGTTTTCCATCTTCGGCGGCCGCATTGTATTCAGCATCCGTTGCCCTGCGCCTCCAATCCAAATTTGACAACCGCGAATGCTCTGAGTTGGTAGAATCTGTTCGTCCGTCGTATAGCTTGCCGAATCTGCGTGGCAGCGCCCCCAGATCCGTCACCAAGCTACCAAATTCTGCAAGTTTGCTATCTAGCTTCGCTTTGATGTCATAGACACCATCGTGTAGCATTTTGGCTGCTTCATATCTTTCCAGCTCTTGACTGAGAGATATAGTCTGCTCCCGGAGCGATACATTTTCAGACAGAAGGTGGGAGACTTCGGATTCAAGGCTGCGAATGCGAAGGGACTGTATCGAATTGACCCGAGCAATTTCGCGATTTTGCCTCACAAATCGTCGTTTAACTAGAAGAGCGGAAGAAACTGTCAGTTTCATGCGTAATCTCCCGTGATAGACAGAGAGAAAGCAATGCTCTCTTTCTCGACTCACGAATTTCAATAGATTCGGTAGGAGCAGTAGATTCATTTAATCTAGCCATGCTTGAGAGGTCGGCAGTGATTGACTGCCCGTCCCTATCCGGACGCACGATCTAGGCAGATATAGTTAAGGCGCTCAAACTCTTTAAAAAAGAGATGCAACAAGGGAAGCCGTCAGGTGAGGGGCATCAGTCGGTTTTGTTGCTGTGAATATGGTAAACAGAAGAAGATGGCGCTTTTCGTGGTCGGGGGATACGAATTATTGGGCCCACACTCCACGCTTGTTGACATTTGACCATATTCGGAATAGTGCGTCCACCTGGTTGTTTTGGGAAAGCGGGACCTCACAATGCTGTAGTACTCCCGTCCGTAAGGCGAGATCTCCAATCTTAACCATCAACCCTTTCTCCTATGACATACTATTATATATGTATATTCTTTTGATCCAATAAATTGAAATACTCATCAGTACGGCCCGTGAGATTGGAGGAGCGCTACACTGCTCATTTCAAATTCTTTTACTTCGTACTGCGAACATCATCAATAGATTGCCCAACTTGAAATTTCCCAAAAACCACCGCTCTGTGACGCCCATTTACGATATAGCATTTGTGACTATTAAGGAACCATGACTTACACGTCTCGACCGACGATGCTACCACCGGGGAGCTCAGGGGCCTCTCTTCGCCAACCGAGCAATCACCATGCCATTTCTCAACAGCAGTCATCTGCTTTAGCGATACGAATAGCGTCCAAAAAGGCAGAACTTGAAAACCTGAGACATCTGCGCGATTTGAGTGCTATATTAGCAACGCAGATGCAAACTCTGGAGTCGAAAATAGGGACGTTGAATGATGGCACAGAAGGTTTGTATGATATCCTTCATATAAGCAATCTTGTCTCTGGATGACGGTCCGGCTAATATAATATCTTACTTGCTTGGCATCAGCGGTTGCGTGCGTTCTTGCGAATTGGGACAATGTCTTACGAGCCATTAGTATGGCGTCGTGTAAGTTTTGCTTCATATTCTTTCGCTATACAATTGTATCAAAAACGAAACTTCTGGGGCATTATTCCTAACTATCTCTTTCTGAATACTTAGCAAAAGCCGTTGATCTTAAAGATTCAGCCGTTTCTTCTGAAGATGTCGGTGACAATCAAGCTGAGACTCCGCTACCGGCGACCCTTGTCCGAATACCTGCGGAATCACAAGAAAAGACAAGCGAATGAAGCAAAATATGAGTCCCAAAGTCTGCAAGGCCTTCCCTTGGCCCTCCTTCCTTCTTTCTTCTTTTAGTGGTCTCTTGAGTGACTCAATTACCTTTTCTCCTATCCTATACTACGCGTTGTCCGCGCTTCTTATAGGTAGGCTTACTAGTGACTCGGGGCTAACGAGGGTGATCCGTAACTCCATGAATGCCGTCTCGAGGGATATCTCAGAGAGGCTACGGACGACCTGAGTTCTGTAAGGCACTCTAAAAAAGGTTGCTTTCTGTCGATAGCTCTCGCGTTTGCAATCAATATATGATGTTCTTTGACGGACAAAAGAGGAATGGAGGAACTGCATTTGTCAGATTGAGTTGCGTATCCCTACGGGTATTCGGTTATTATGTCGGGAGGGGGTGGAATAACTAGCGACAGCTGCTTTAGTAAACGTCCTATGGTTAGAGGGCGATATGCGATTCAGTCTGAGCCCGGATTGTACTCTGTACAAATTACCCGGGTATTGATAGGAAGGATCGGATATACGTACAAACATGAAATATTAGCCAGTAATCATCTGAAAACAGTGAATGAAGCTGATGATGTTATCTTTTGCCATCTCCACCAGCGTCAAGGTGGTTACCATACTCAGCAGTATGCATGGAAATGATGATCATCCAGCTACTGTTTGGTTGATAGATTCTTCAGCTAATGGATTATCTGGTGATAGTCCTGTATACCCATTGCTATTAAGGATGAGCAGCTTGGGAGCCCCCTTGTCAGCAATTGTACTGCTATGTACATGCGATTCTCTCATTCTGTGGTTGAGGAGAGGAATGGTTATTATATATAGAATAATACTTTCTTTTATCGATGGGTCGAGAAGATAATACGTTTCTGACTGCGCTGATGATCCCGGCCAACTATGGGACTGTAGCACGGAGTACTTACTACTAGTACTGTGCACATCTGGGGACAGCTAGTGCGGGGAACGAAGTTACTACTTGGAAAACCGTTCAAACCTAGGTATTATTATTATGTATCATTACACACTGCCATGAACATCCTCTCCTACCAGATGAGGGAAATGTCGGCTGCGCGGAAAAAACTCAGCTAATTCTCTGGTGGAGCGGGCGTCAACATACAATGATCTAGACGGTTTAATACATAGTACGTACTAGTACGCAATTTATCATCATTTGGATTGGTTTGGCCTTATTATAGAATACATATGGGGTGCAAATGAGCAATATGCTCTAATCTGTAACTCTTTGGATTGGAAGACGGAATAAGGTGCAAAAAATATCACATTAACACACATGACCGCGAGCATGAAGGCAATATTGACATGAGTTTTTTTTTTTTTTTTTTTTTTTTTTTTTTTTT